GTTGAGCGGCACACATTTTTGTGACCAGCGCCGACACAACTTACTCCCAGTTTTCTAAACACTCCCCTCTGAGCTGGCCCATCCGAATAAACCTAGATGCACCTCGCTGTGAGGCATGAGGCCACTGAAGGATTTCTTCTGCCCTCCATTTCAGTTCCTCCCATGGCAGCTGGCCGATACCTGGAAGGTATCTAAATTTTCTTTTGTCCAGAGTTACTATAATACATTCCTCAGCAGCAGAAGTCCCAATGTAATAAGAGAAGCATAAGCATTTCAATTAATGGTGGAATCTATAATAAGAGAGTCCTGACTTGGCCGCTGCTTAGCTGAACTGAATCACTTCACTTCTCTATGTATAATGAGGGGCATTGAATAGCAGGTGTGGAAACAGTGCCTAAGCTTTCATGGGCCCCCACAAACTGAGTATGATACTGAATCCCCCTGAGACCAAACACATCCTCAGAATTCCCCTAAACACAGTGCTCCAGGGGGCTCCAACCTCTCAGTAACAGTGGGCCTATAGAATCAATATGTGAAGTTCTACATGTGCTCACCTAGGTCGTAGCCAGCTCTAACACACAGTTTAAAGTGCTCCTGTTCCTAGCTGTCTTGATTATGCCAGAATAATAGGTTCTCTGGAATCCTTAGCTTCCATTTCCTCATGGTTAAAATCTAGTTCAAGTGACCAGGGGCAGGGGGGAGGGAGAAGGGAAAAGGGGGGAGAGAGAGGAGGAGAGGGGGAGAGAGAGAAGGAGAGGAGGGGTGGGGTGGGGGGAGAGAGGGGACTAAGCCTAGAGAGGAAATGAAGAGATATTCTCAGAGAAGCCTAAGTAGAAGCAATGACTTTCCCCTTAGAGAAGGGCTCCTCATTGTTCAAGACTTTTATTTCATGCTATGTTTTAGCATCTAGTTAACATTAGTGTTTGCTTTGTTTATTGAAGTATGTATATACACACAGAGCCAACATTCTGTTCATTTCCTGAATTTCTTTTTGTGTGTGTGTGTGAATCAGCTTGACACTCCCCACTGTGCCAGATCATCTGCTCACCTGGCTTGAAATCAAATCACTGAGCCTAAGCTTTCACATTCTAAAGGCGAAGTCACTTGGCTTTGCAATAACAAGAATGCCTCATTTATACCCTCATATATACCATTAAAAGAATGAAGACAAGTCTAGATAGTAGCATTTCCTTACTAAATAGTCCACTTACACACGCCCAAGCATAAAGCGTGCTTGTACTACAGGTCCACAGTGTACAGGGCCTGTCCGTCAGCCCTTCCTCACCCTTGGCAGACACCACCAGTCCAACATGGATTTTGCTCAGAACCTGGAGGCAGCCTGGAAATTTTTCAGCACCATACCCCAGGTGATTCTTAGCAACTGACCAGTGCTGGCAGGTGAGACAATACCCACTTGCCATCCTGCAAGGAGGAAGAGGCTGAGAGTAAACAACGCATATCCTTCTCTCTGTCAGCTTCATCACTTCAACAACTCCAAGCACCCTCCTTCCAAACTATTAGGCGCCATTTTGTTGTAATGAAGAAAATCATAGTGGTCAGATGCTTTTGCTGCTGCAAGGATTTTGAAGATGATCTAGTCCTCCCCTGCCATGCATCAGGTGAGAATACTGAGGCTAAGAGAGTGAAAGATTGTCCAACCTCACATGAGTTAACAGGAACACTAGGAGGAGTCTGAGTTCAACGAACCATTCTATGTAAGATGCCAGGAGCTGGCCATGAAGGTGAAGGGAACGAGCGTTCCATTTGTTTAATAAGCCTTCTCCTGCTCTCCTATTCCCAAGAGAATGCAAATAGCTTTGGTGTGCATCTCTTATGTTTCCTCCCACCATCTGTCTCTCAAAAATAAACATGTTGTTGTGGCCAAAATGGAAGGAAAGGGAAGCCCTTGGACTTCATAGTTGCTAACCTGACAAAACGATATACTCTCCAAAGACTTCCTTCTACGTTGGTGCAATGGTCCTCAAGCATTCAACTCTGCTCAAGACCTACAATATATCATTTATTTTTATCCAGTGACCTTAAAAACTGGACTTCAGCTATCTGATCCTGGAGGAGCTTATCACAGTTAACCTCTATAAATGAGCACGTTTGACATAAAAGCTACTGTGCAATGTTTCATGCTAATACCCAAAAGAAAAATTAATATCGTAACATTAAGTTTTTCTCTGCATGAAAGAACACATTAAAAAAACCTGCTAACCCCCCCCCCCCCAAATAACAGAGATTTATTGTCTTATATATCTTGATTCAGTCACTTTAAAATTCGGTAATGTTATTTCCATAGAATCTCAAAGTGCTGAGAACCGGATGCTAATTTCACAACAGCACTGTGTAATCTCAGAAGTTCTTAAATGATGCCATTCATATTATCACATTACAAAGGAATGAACGGACAAAGCAAAGCAATGTCCTTTAAAAAGGTTCAAATGCTCAGTCCAATATGAATCAAAATACTGATCAAAAGGTTACTTCCTAACAAGACCCATCCCTATCAGAAACAGAAAAAAATCAACTCCAAATGATTTTACATGTTTTAAGGTACCTTTAAAAAGTACACATCTTTAATATTTGTTGATGCCATGAATAAAATAATCAAAGATGTGATGTTTTTGTTTAAATTCTAGGAAAGTATTTTTCTATACTCATACAACCCTAAGCTGCATACACAAAAAATACCATTTAATCAGAAATGGGACCATCACATAACCTTTGATAATGAAGTAATTTTGTGTGCCAAGAACATTAGCAATGCTGCTGAATGACACTGAGTTCCGAAACACAGGAAATATACAATAAAATGGGTTCTACATAGAATCGTTAAAACTTAAAATATGTCCAAGAAATACTACAATTAACACAAATTCCAAGTTACAAAAATAGCCACCAGAAGATGCTACGTGGATATACTGAGTAAAATTAAGAGCATGCTTACAAAGAAAAGAATCAAACCAGAAATCACCGACGTACTTCGGTTCCCAGTGAACGTGGCTAACAAAGGACCTACACAAAGGCTGTAGGATCCCAGGACCAGCAGTGTCAACAAGGTAGCATCATAGTGCCTCTCGGAACCAGCCGGTGGGGAGAGTGTAGAATTGATAAAAATGTTTGCAGAAATATCCGTTTCTGTACAACTGCGAAATCCTCCTGGTACAGTCATCTAAAAGCACCAAGGCAAGCTTAAGCAGGAAAGACTGCAGCCATGTTCACGCCCATCTCCTACATGCTTGCTCGGGGTGAATTAGAGCGGAGGGGGGAAAAATCCTGCGGCTCCGAGGCACTGCACAAAACAGACTAGACCCGCCAGCAAATCAAGCTGAGAAAGGAACTCGGGGATCAGAATGCTTAATCTGCAGCAGGGACGCATGGCAGCAAGACAGGCTCTGTGGGGAGAGGGTAAACCCCTTTGTTAAAAGACAAAAGGGGACAGACAAAAGCACTTTATAACCTCCTTCGGAGTGTCAGGCACGGCACTGTGACCGTGGCCAGCGCGACATGGCTGTCAGGGGAAGAGGCTGGGGAGTGGCACTACAGAATGTGTTTGCGGCCAGTGTCACCGATGCGGTGGCCACACAGCCCTCGGGGAGCGGCTGGGAAGGCTGTCCTGGCAGTTTGTGTTCGAAAATCCCCACCGCACTCAGAGAAAGCTGCCAGTGTGGATGACCTTCCCGAATTCATCAGGAATGATCTGTTCTGTGCAAACCCCTCTGATTTGATGCCACAACTTCGACATCCAAACAATAAACACAATAACCCTACTTAATTTTAAGCAGCATATCCCAGTCTTCTCCCTACAGGTCTGGTATCCAGCTACTTACTCACAGGGGACCAGCCACGGCTGCCAAGCAAGCTCTCGGAAATGTGCTCATTAACTCAATGTCTTATCTTCCAGACATTCATTCCCAATTCTGTTCACGTACTGGCTGAGTGCCCTTGGGCCAGTGACAACCTCTTGAGCCTGAATTGCTTTATATATAAAATCAGTAACAGCAGAAGTTACTTGAGAGGAAAATAAAAAGTGAAATGATGTGTGGTAACCCTGTAACAGCGCCCCACACTCCAAAGGTGCAATAACCATGACCCCGCTTGGTCTCGGTCGCCTCGGCAGAAAAAAAGGAATCAACCCCTCCTCAAAGCAAGGATTCCCCTCCTCCCCACCACACATGCGTTAAGTCTTGTTTTATCTGGTATTCTAGTTATCCATGTTCATATCCGCTCTCGTCTCAACTCCCTTTTAGATAAGGATCATTTCTTTTGTAATGTGTATTTCTCACTGCATCTACCGTGAAGCCTGTAATACACAGGCAGGCGCTCCAAAAGCATTCAAATTAACTGATTCTGTGAGAAGATTTAAAAGGAAACGAGCAAATAAATACTAAAACCAAATATGTCTTTTGAAGGACAGGGAGGACTCAATTCGCCCATTTTGTACACAGAATTCACAGTAACAAACAACTTTAAAAATATTCTTCTGATTTTAAATTACTTACAATTAGGCTTGAACTTATAATATACTAGTCATATTACACTGAATGTAGCATCCAAAAATTATAAAACACGCATCTACAAAATTCGGTGTTTTACAAAATAAATGGAACTGATGTTATCTTTTTTTCCTGATTTCCAGTTGGGTTTCAATGGCTCCTAGGCTGCTTCCTTTCCTTAAACAAACTGAACACCACTACCACTTCAAGTGACACACTTGAGAATCTTTCATGTTTAAAAAAAAAAAAATACCAGGTCTTTCTACACCGATAGTTCAGTGTTCTATAGCCCATTCATCAGAAGAGAATGTCGTTGAAAGAATGTTTTTCCTGCGAAACTTTCAGAGCAAAAAGCAGAAAAGGCAGGGAGGAAGAAACAATATGCACATGTTCCTGTAAACCACAGAACTGGAAATTCTGATAATTATTTGCAGTACACTGGTTTTTGTATAACCACAGGTTCAATGACCCCCAGAGGCTGACACATGCCCAACTCACAGTTACTGCTGCAAGTGTTCCGATCGCTGTGGGCGCTGGCCACAGAGGAGGGGCTCCCTGTCCTCCGGAGCGCAGAACTCTTCAAGGACGCATTGGATTTAGGAAGTGGTCTAGGCACATTCACCCAAGACGGCTGAGCAGTTTTCAAAGATGTAGGTTTTCCTTGAGGGTTAAAAAAAAAAAAGTGTCTACTGCTATTTATTTCAAAAGTTTTAAGCTTGTTAATTCAAACTCTTGCGCTAACAACTGAGTGGAAATATAAAATGAACATTCGGAATCATAGCACTTCAGATGAAGTCTTTACCCAGACTTACTCATTTTTGACAAATCAGAAGCTGAAAAGCAGAGATGATGCTCAGCGAGGCAAGCAAGGTGGCTGTAACCACGTAACCTCGAGCAATTAACTCATGCCTTCTGTAATACAGTAGTAGACCAGAAAGGGCCACGTGTGACAGAAACTTTTGGAGAGTTGAAATCAAAGAATAAACAAATGGATATGACTTCTCCCCCCCCCAATACTGTTGATTGAAAAGTAAACAAATGAGCCCATTCATGCACTAGGCTAAGGTATTAAAAAAAATAGATGAAACATTTAAAACAACCAAACAGGAAGGAAAAAAAAATATCAATTTGATTTAAAAAAACAGAAACAAAAAACACTTCATTTAAAAAATACCTAATGTCCAACACCAGGTGGTGCTATATTATTAGCAGTATTCTTTTTCCGTCGTCTTTTTTTTTTTTAATTGTGGGGGGGGGGTTGTTTCTTGTTTTGTTTTTTTTTAGAGAGAGAGTTTGTTGTTTCACTTATGTATGCATTCATTGGTTGATTATTGTATGTGTTCTGACCAGGGACTGAACCCGCAACCTTGGTGTACAAGGACAATGCTCTAACCAACTGAGCTACCCAGCCAGGGCTCCTCTCATTTTTTCATCCTTACTCCTTATTTTCCAAACTTAAATGATCACCATTTGAACTGCTAACTCTTTTTTGCCACAAAAGTGTTTCCACCTGTCTACCTACCTATCTATCTATCTATCTATCTATCTATCTATCTATCTATGCTTCACATTTTCTGGCATCTTTGAAATCTCACTACCTCACACTGGCTGCTTGAATGTGGGCATTTCCCAAGTTCAAGCCTTTTACTCACAACTTTTCCTTATATCCATCTCTCTTGCAGAGTCTACTTTATTCACTTTACTCTAACCCTGCCCTATATGGATTAATCTCAAATTCTCACCTGCAGTTCTATCCTCCTTCTGAACCCACTGCCACTCACACTTCCAATTCTTTGCTGACTGTTTCAGCTTGCACGGTTAGATAACCTCCTACATGCTACGTATTTTAACTTTAAGTCTGTTTTTCCTTTTTCCCCAGCCTCAAAACATTGGAATCGTCTTTGTTTTCCCCAGATTACCATATAATTTAGCACCAAGTCTCTCAACGCTAATCGTATCACAAAACTGAAGAATGAGAAGAACTCAAAAGACCTTAGATGAAAATGATAGTGTCACATATTACTGAAGGCGCCATGAGTGAGTAAATTGGAAATTAATGCTCATTGGTTTGTCCTAGTGATTTCACCTACAAAAATCTCATCTTAATAGAGAAAGAAGAGCTTAATTTCCTTAGGTCTGGCATTTAAAGTCATCCATATTAAAGTTCTACCAGTCTCTAGCCTCACCCCTGTACTATCCTTTTATACGCGCATGCATTCTGCTCCAATCAGCCTACTTCTCTCTCTGACTCCAGGATGTTATTATTCTAATTCACAGGAACATCATTTCTTTTTAAAAAGGTCTTCTTCCTCTCAATCCAACTCTTGCAAATTCTCATCACCGCCCCCCATCATTTTTGCCTAAACCACTGTGGTCGACTCTGTACATCCTGGCCTTCTGTCCTTCCCAACCCCCTCATGTGGATCTCCTGACCATGAACACCAAGGTCGTGACCCAATCTAAAAACCTCTACTTCCCCATTATCTACGGGGTACTTACTATTTTTAATCCTCTCAATAAACATTCACTTTTACAGGCATAAAAGGCCGTCATGGGGTTGATTCCTACCCACTTCTTCCCGCCTATGCTTTGCCAGGCCTCCATCCCTCTGGTCTCTGCTATGACCCCCTTTCTGAGAGAAATGGCCTCCTTTCCCTCTACCAGGGATGTCCAACGTGCGGCCCGTGGGCCTCATGTGGCCCAGGATGGCTATGAATGCAGCCCAACACAAAATCATCAATTTACTTAAAACATTATGAGATTTTTTTTTTTTTTTTGTGGTTACTGTCGCAATGTATTTAATGTGTGGCCCAAGACGACTCTTCCAGTGCGGCCCAGAGACCCCAAAAGGCTGGAAACCCCTGATTCTAGTCCTCTGTCCTGTCTCATGAATACAAAACCAACAGGTGGTTCTTTTAAATTGTTGCCACTCATTTGCGGCCCCACCCCAGATTTATGAATCACAATCCTCAGTTTCACAAGATCCCCAGGTGATTCGAATACACGTGACGTATGAGAAGCACTGTTAAGAGTCAGGACCTCTTTAATGCCTTTCCATCCAGGGCACCCTCTTCTGTGTGCAGTGTTCCTCTACACCCCTACTGATACTTGCTTCTGTCTCAGCGTCTGTCTCAGTAGTCTCTGGACTAGTCTCTATGGTCCCTGAGAACAGGAAGAAGACCTTATTCCATTCTATCCCTCAGGGCCTAGCAAAGTGTATATGTAGACTGAGATTTCATATATTTTTGTTGAATTCATTCGTTTCTCTTTTCAGGCCAAGAGTAAGGGAGAGGAAATAGGGAGAGGTAGGTAAACAGTACAAACCTTTAGCTATCAGATGCATAAGGTCTGAGGCACCCATGTAAAACATGGTGACTATAGTTGATAACCCTGTATCATATCATTGAAATTTGCTAAGAGAAGAGAACTTCAATGTTCTCACCAAAAGAAAAAAGAAAACAAAGAGACAGAAAGAAAGAAAGAAAAAAAAAGAGAAAGCTAGCTAAATACATGAGGTGGATGTGTTAACTCGATGGTGGAAACTTTTTCATAATGTATACATATATACAATCACCACAATATACACTTCACGTATCTTATAATTTTATTTGTCAGTTATACCTCAATCAAGCTGAAAAAATAACTTTAGAATTATAATGATGATAGTAATAACACTACCACAATTTCTTTTAAAGGCAAGAATAATTTTTGAAATAGTATTATCTTCTCTCACTATCTACATCAAAGCATCAAACACTTAACCAAGTTTATCTGTCCTTCATTAATATCAATAGACTCTTCAGTCTATTAGCTAAATAAAAGGAGACATTTTTCTTTACGTTCCTTATTATAATTAGCTTGTAACAGATATCCAAATATCCATTTGATTTTTAAATGTACGTTTAAGCCACAAGTTTTACTTGCTTTTGGGGGTATAGAAAAACAGATTTTTAGACTATAAATTCACCAAATCCCTCCCCTTTCAGCAAAATCACTCTGATGAGTCATCATCATCGAAACCGATGAACAAGGTTGGGCAAGTTACAGACGAAAATTTTTGGGCCGCCACCACGTGCAATCAAGACTGAACAAGTTTGGTAAATCAACTTATTTTTCAGAAAGGGACGTTTCGCAGCGTGCCTCCTGATGGCACCGTGGGTTCACAGCACTCCTCAGCGCGCCTCAGAGCTGCGGGAGCCCTGCGCCCCTTTGCTTCCCACGCACACACTGGCTCCAGAAATGAGCCGACCCCCAAGCCCAGTGATCGCTCCTCTGGCCCAGCCCATCCCCTTTTCACGGGTCACACCGTCACCCCCTCCCACACCACGTACCTCCACTTAATGGCAACTTGCAGTCCCAGCCAAAGTCTTGCCCGTTCCCTCATTACCTACTCCTGACTAAATAAGGCACTGAGGGTACTGAATAATACCGACTTTACCTAAGGATCAGCTCCTTTGAAGCCCAGAATAATCCTAACAGTGCATTACTATTACTGTCCCCAGTTTATAGATGAGAAAACTACTGAGGTGCTAAATGGCTTGGTGGGGTCACACACCTAACCAGTGACACTGAGGCCTGGAATACAGGCCACGTGCACCAGCCCCGTGGCCCCTATGCACCGCTGAGTGGAAGCATCACCGTTAGGGGAAGGAGTGCCAGGCGCGGAGGCCGGCCCGAGCGCCTCCTCCGGCAGAAGGGCGCTCTAAGAGTGCAGCAATGAAGACGCTGGGGCTACCGCAGAGGGCGGAACTGTGTCACCAACAGGCCTAACGGTGACCTCGACGGCCACGCTGGCCTGAGGGACCTGTAAGCAGACTTCACATAAAGCAGCAGTAAAACAGACATCATGAGCAATATTAAGGTAAGTCCTGTCCATATTGGGCTGAAAGACCGTGAGTAACCTGAGCACCAGATTCTTAAATGGTGAAGTCAACACAGGACTGCTCTGATGGACAGTTCTGAAAAGGTGATGTTTATCAGTTTACTCCACATCATGTCACTTATCCCAGATGCGAACCATAAAGATTAAGACCTACCTGCAGAGACCTTACTGGCCTGAGTGGCTTAAGCTCATGCCTTTAGCATAAACCCACATATAAAGAACTGATTTGTCATGACCAGCCCTTGTCTAGCGAAAACACGGAATGAGTAACATTCGCCCTTCGCCTTAGATGGCAACACAAGAGAGTCTACTGGATTTGAAACATGGCTTTATCAAACAAGCAAGCTACTCGGACAACGGTCTTGGAAAACCCAAATAAATGGACAGTACTCGTCAAAAAAAAAAATCATTAAGGAATACCTTGCAAAACAAAAAAAATCCAATAGAAAGCTTTATTAAGTGAAAAAAGGATACTGTTAATATTGTCCTATTTTTTAATCTTATACTTATCTGTATAATTGAAAAATTCCAGAAGGATATATCACAATTTTATGGGACTATTATGGGATATAGTCCAGTGGGAGGTGGAGGGAAAGAGAAGGGAAGAAGCAGGGATAGGAGTGTTCCCGCCATACCTCAGGTACTGACATATTCCTTCATATGAATCTTCTTACTACAATCAGCATATTTTTATAACAACAACTGACATTTATTATTAAAGTCAATGGGATTAAATATTTAATCAGATTAAAAAAATACTTGAGACAAAACAGATGAA